GTCCGCTCAGCTGGCTAGCGGCGACATTGCACATCCTCGATATATACAATTTAATAAGAAGTTTGTCCGTCGCAAGAAAGAAAAATATTAAATAAGTTTTAAACAATAATTAAACAAATATAATTAAAGGAGATGGAAACTGGTTTGCCCAAAATGTTATGAGTTCAAAATCGATTTAATTTTTTTTTGTATTAAATACCAAAAATCTGCATAAATTCTCAATCTCCAAACGGAGAAATAAGCAAATAACTGTTTTGAAGCAATCGATTAACGATTAATTAAATAAAAATGATTATTCGATTATTTATCTACAAAATAAAAACTTCACTCCTAGTTTTAAACTTAAGTATAGTAACTTCATTTAAACTACACCATATATGACTATAATTACATAAAAATAACTTTTAATAATGTGTATTAATATAATAATAATATTAAATATTATTTTAAAACATTCTTTTCGATTATCGATTCCATATCGATCGAAATCATTCAGTATATAGTCTATGGCAACATGCCATTGACACTTAACAGTTACCGTCAGATGCATTGTTATGAGTCTCACTTGTTTGATGTTTCGTGTTTTTTGATAAGTTTCGAGTGCTTTCCCGATCATTTTACGTTTTCAACGACCACTGCTTTGATTTTACGGACTCCGAACCCACCTAACGTTTTACGACCCTTGCTTTCATTTATTTCATAGAAATTTTCTACTTTTAGTGATTTGAATTTTAAAAGCTATCGAGATTTAGTGAACCCTTTTAAATATTCTAGTAAACTTGATGTTAAATTTAAATATAATATTAAATAATAATTAATAAAACATTTCCAGAAAACAGAAGTCAATGATTGATCACATCAAAGTGAAGTATACGTGCCGTATATATTATATCTATTTCATTTAACACTCGATCAAAGACATTAGTTATTATACTTCACTAAGTCGACAGATATATTGTCTTATACATTTACCTTGTAAAGGCTCGATTTCTTTTTTTTGTGCAAAACACGTTGTTAAACACTATTTATACTGACTATTATCACAAGAGGTAATAGGAACTTAATTTTTGTTAGATATTGTTGCGGATTTTGATTGTACATATTTAACGAGGAGATATTAAAAGGCGTAGATTAGTTGCAATGATAATTTTATTGTGTTACATATTTTTATGACAGGGTATTAGTAATAAATTAAAATTACAATAAACAAAGCGCCTTACATTTAAAGACTAAAGAACCCTGGCAGACCCTGGCTAAAGCTGGGAAATTGCCAGGAAGAAGAAGAAGAAAGCGCCTTATCTTTAAAGCGTTCCGTAACCTCCATATACTAAATTGCTTCACAATTTTAACAGGCGCTTGTTCCAACAGATATACTTACTATTATATGTAGTATTAATTTAAACATATAATATATAAGAAGAAGACAGATCATTGTCTTTCGAGTCAGCTGTACATAATTAAGAAATTAACTTCATTGACGTAAAAATTAACAGATATTTCTTGATTATAGGGCGGTACGAAGTCCACCGGGTCATAGGTATACGGTTTAAGATATCTCGGATAGTTTTTGAGAAAAGTTTTAAATTAAAAAATATTATTTAAATAGAAGGTAACTATCAAGAGAACAATATACGGCAATATTAATTGAAATAATAATAAGCAGTTATAATATTTTTGAAGCTTTTATTTTACTATAAATATATAACACACAGCATTTCTATTCTGCGTTAATTATTTAAAAACTATTCTATTTATAAAAAGTTGAACTAGAAATTTATTGTATAGGATATAAAAATTATTCAAGTTTCATTATAGTTATTATAATACAAATTTAGTTTAATAATGTTTAAATCTTTTTTCACATTATTGATTAAATTAATATTGAACAATTATTCACGTACATGCTTTATTATGAGCTAAATGATAGTATGTATCTTAATCTGGTAATTGAGTTAAGCGATTATTCTATCAATATTAAAATAGTTTTTTTTCTTTATATTTCTTTTGCTGTATAAATTTATATTTTTAGCGAATTAAACAAAGTTTAGCAATTTAAACTACTTAAAAGCTGTTAATACAGAAGGAGATTATTTTTCGTAAGCGAGGGTGCGCGTGCGAGTGTCGCCGTAGTGATGACAGACAAGCGTTACACAGCTAAAGTCTATGTGGACTGACGACTGACGAGTGACGAGTACGACGCACTGCGCCGTGCACCAGTGTTGCCAACTTTATTTTTTAGAGGATCGTACTATACACTAAAAAAAATAGTATTTTGTCTTGAAATTCAAGGAAATAATCGTACGCGATGAAATTTCAATAAAACTGCTTAAGTATATAAAATAAAAACGGAATTTAATTCTAATTTTCAATTAACATTAATCATCAATTAATATGTGGAATTAAGGTATTCATTAATTACATATATTTTGAAAACATAAAAAAAATTAATTGCTTTAGTCACGAATTATTAGGCACAGCAGATGCGGGAAAAGCATTATATTTTTTGTACATACTTAAATTTAATTTGCTCAGCATATCGTCAGATGGCTTGAAGTTTATACACGATCCTTTTTATTTAATATGTTGTGCAGCTAACAAATTCTCATTTACCGTTTCTGGAATACAGTTTAGTTTTTAATATTCCTTACAGTTATAGTATAGTACTAAATATAGTTAGTTATTGTTATAGTACTAAAGTTTAGTTTTACACATTCCTTATAGTTTTATTGGAGATTTATTTTTTCGTAAGACTTCATTTAAAAAATCGTATATAATCTTACGCAAAAGATTTCGATAACTCGATCGTACATCGTACAAGAGTCAAAAAGGTCGTATAAATACAATTTAAATCGTACGGTTGCCAACACTGCTGTGCCCGCTCAGCTGGCCAGCGGCCGCCAGCGGGGGCCAGCGGGGGCCAGCGGGGCTACAGGTGCGCGGGCCCGGACGACGCGAACTATAGACACAGCGCGCATCCTCGATATATACATACGTACAATTTAATGAGAGGTTTGTCCGTGGCAAGAATTAAAAATATTAAATTAATTTTAATCATTAACAAATATGTATGTATAGAAATGGATATAAATTTAAATTTACAATACAACACATAATCTAAGTTGCTCCGCTACACTCTGTTTGTATAATGTATTCATGTTAAAGTAAACATATGAAAACTTTTCAAAGTATAATTTATTTATCACTTTTACTTTTAACTTTATTCATATCTTCCTTTTGGTTCATACATTTGCTAGGTATACATCAATACCGCTTTTTTCTGCGCTTTGATAATTTAAATATTTATTTTGAACATAGTCATAGTCATGACCTTAAATGTAGACGGCATTAACAGGCATCACTATATCATTTCAGTCATCACTCATCACCAGAACTAGTACATACATACAGTAATATGGTCTTCGGCAACGTGATAGTAAACGGTATTATTTCAGATTTATTTATTTTTATTTATATTAACCAGTGAAATAACAGATACAAAATATGAGATGGTTACCACTAAACATAGGACTGGTGTAGAGTAATATAAATCCAAGACTACATAAATAGAAAATAATAAACCATTAAATAATATGTAACCTAAAATATAATCTTAGAATAAAGAAGTTAAGTTTATTTAACAATATAACTTTTTATTTTTATTTTATAATACTTGGTATATTATTTCGATAAATGAATCAAAGGCTAAAATTTGCATACTTATTCTCATTTTGTTTGCGGCTTTCACTATATTCGTTTTTCGACGGTCAATCAATGAAAATGATACCTGTAATAATAATGTACCTTGTTGAGCATACCCTACGCATATAACAACTAAACCTATATTGTTTAATTTTTATTTACATATTTTTTAATCATACATTACGAAATACAAATCTTAAATGTCTCGGTACACATTAATCCGTCTTCTTTGGTTGTGTCGCTATCAGTCACGTGACATTTAAATAAATCATTTGTTTCTTGTGTTCAAGCCGCGACACATCTGAGACGTTCTATTAACGATGTTTTTTTTTTATGTGAAAGGTGGCAAACGAGCAAACGGCCCACTTGATGGAAGGTGGTTACCGTCGCCCATGAACATCCGTAACATGTTTGTTACGGATGCGTTGCCAACCTTGTTTTTTAGGAATAAGGAGGGATGGAAATAAGGGAATGGTAGGAAAGGGGTAGGAATAGGGGTAGGGCTACCGGCTCTCTCACTCGTCGGACGAAACGCAGCCATTAAAGGCTACTTCACGCCGATCTTCTGTGAGAGGGTGGCACTTCCCCGGTCGAGCCCACCCATGTTCGAGCTGTAGTAACTGACTACAGCTAGGGTCTACCACCTAAAATGTACTTTTAAATCGTCTGTTGTATTTGTATGGAGGTAAAATTATTAATACCATCATGGAATTGTTGATAATAATATAGTTGAAATATTTGACCCTCCTTCTAAATTACTTCACAAATTTGACAAACATTTTTTTTTTACAAATACCTATTTTAAATGCTTATTTAACTCCTGACAAAATATTTGTTAATAATACTAAGTATTGTTCTTTAGAATGTAATAGTTTGTAACAATTAAGATTGTGTATCTGAATAATTTAACGACAAATATTTAGTAAGTCGACTTTGGTTTTGTTGTTTTGAATACTTTCATGAATAATACAATAAAAGTAACAAATTCAATAAACGATATTGATTTTTATAATTTGTTCCACTTTTCAGTCCCAGTTTATTTCTTCCTATCTCCAGCAATCAATAAATCTATAAAACATTCCATAATATATACATACTAATCTATTACTACATAATTGCTAATTTACGTCTATCAAAAAAACTGGAATTTTTGTGGCTATAACCTCAGTTTAGGTAAGCGTAGTTTTTATATTTTCAAAGATGTATGTTTTGTAAAAACATATTTAGAGTTCATAAATTATTATCTTCTCACATTTTTTGAACCTCCGGCTTACGTTATTCAAGAATTGGTATATAAGACGATGAAGATCAGTATGTACATTACATCTAATACAGTGTTCTCCTAAGTAGCAGGTGAGTTTTGGTGAATTGTGTTTTTTTTATCATACATAAAAGATCAAAGTATATATATAAATATTTCATGTAATAATATATTAAAACTAAACTGAAAAAGAAATAGTTGTAAAACTTATAATTAATCATTATGCAAAGAAGATTAATCAGTGAAGAAATCTTATAGTTTCAAATTACTTATATTTTAAAGTAGATTTTATTTTATATATTTGTATTGTGTTTTTCTAAAAACATGTGTTTAAAATTTTGTGTAACGAAAAATTAAAAAAAAAGTTTGATGTAGGTATCTCTAGAAATAATTTGTCATTTTAGAAACGACTATATCAATTAATAATATTTTAATTTTATTGTCTTTTAGAAACGACGACGAGAATTATTTAAATATTCATTTCGACATATTTTTAAACCCCTTTTTCCCCGCCAAAACAGCTAAAAATTTTAATCATGACATCTACATTCTTGATTATATTTTTTTTCTAGAATGGATACCAGAATCTGTTCAATCCAATTGCGGTAAATGTTCCGACCATCAGAAGCATCTCGTCGGAAAGGTTATGAAAGCCTCCATGGACAAACTTCCAGAAGAATGGAAAAAACTGAACGCCCTCCACAATCCAGACGGAAAATACGACGAAGGCGTGAAAAATTTCGTGAAGAAATATGGGCAATAAATGATTATATAATTCGAAATATGGATTAAGTGAAAATGAAAATGTAATAAAACTATTTTTATGTGTAAATCTCAAATTATTTTCATTTGATTCATGCTATATCTTATTTGTAACATAGTAAAGAAATGTAATGATATTTTTTATGATAATATTAATACGTAAAACCATCCTCTGGTATGTATTTTTACGATTTAGGAGGAAAGGGATGAACTTGGACTTAAAAACAGTCAAAGCTTATATATACAGAAGAATTTAGAGAAGAATCATAATACACACAAACATGATTCACAAAAGACAAACTAATAGTCCAAGATCTCATGACTGCCAGACGTCACGTTTTATCTGACGGATGAAATGTGAACTATTAAGTAGCGTTACTACGAGTATGTACTATGATCGTATGCAGTGGCGGCTGGTGGGTTATCGAACTGGTGGTGCACTTTACTAAAATATTAAAATTAGAAAATGCTACAAAACAACAATTGACATAAAATATTTTTATTTTTTATACATTAATTAATGCAACGACATTTTTCCGAAGCGAAATGTTCAATCACCTATTTATTAAAATCGAGTATTGTTTGTATATTTTTTAAATTCAATACTAAGCACAGAAAGTGCATTTAGCAAGTGCATGGTATTTCGTAGAAAAGTTTTGATTCTTTTCAATTCCAATTCGTCATACATCGGGTGCTCTCGGTAATCTTCGGCCGCTCGTGCGGCGCTCGAGAACCGACTCATTACTCGGTACATTTCTATGAACTATCTTCTGTCTCACGCGTCAGGCGTATTAATGCGTATCTCATACAAGATGTATTAGCCGTCCTCGTGCACTCACCGAAGCGCACGAGATATTAGTTTAGTAAAGCGCTCAAACTTTTTGACTATAATTCGAAATTTAATTTTTTATACGTTTTTGTATGTTTAGGAAATAAATATTAAAATGATAATTTAAAAATATAGATGAAGTAATATTTTGTAATTTTTAAATCTTTTGAATTGGTGGTTCAGCGCACGAGTGCACTTAAGGTACAGCCGCCACTGATCGTATGCCTACCTGCTAACTTGGTCAAATGGAAAATTTCCAGGTGTCAGGTAATCAAGGTACATAAAAACGTTACTTCGACTAAATTCTCATATCTGATTTTCACATATGTTATAAGATGTATAGTTAAACTGAAAAAAAAATCAATTAAACGTGGTCGAGTATCGACCGTTTGCCAAAATCAATAAATATAATATTTACAATAACCACGGAAAATATAGGATATATATTTAGGATAACCTAAATGAACTTACTTGGAATTAACTTGAGAATACAAATTGTATTTACCTTGACTTGAAATTGCAAACATTTAGAAATTTTAGGCTTCTGAAACATTTTAAATCTTTGACATTATTTGAACGGCTATTAGTACTATTGTAAATTACAGCGAAGTAAGGTTTGTCGGCCTTAAGCGAGGGCTCTACACTTCAGACATGGTGCTTTCGTATTTAAGTAAATAATTGATTTAGATTATCAACATTAGCCTATCAGAGTAAACTGCTGAGCAAAAGCCTCTTCTCACATGGAGAAGGTTTGAGCATTAATCATCACGCTTGATAGAGACGGGTCGGTGATTTCAAACTTTTAATTTGAAATTAAATCCAGGTTTCCTCACGATGTTTTCCTTCACCGTCTGTTAGTGGTGTCTAAATACTCTGAAAATATACCTATGACTCGAACCCGCGCCCTCAGGCATCCCATTTAAACACTAGGCCACCACGACCTATAGAAGTTTTTTTTTTAGTTTATAGAAGATATAAAAAATCAGATATATTTTTTATTCGGAATTCGAAAATTAAAATTATCAACAATTTATGATAATAAAATTTAAATTGTGAACTTATTTGCTTGTTTTATTAGTTCTTGTTTACAAAATGCCTATCGATCGCTCAGTATGCCCTCAGACCTGTACCATCAAATTATGAATTTACGATCGTTATATTATCGTTATTTGTGAATTTATTAGATAAATAATTTGTAATTTATAATCAACAATCATCTGTTAATAATATTGTTTAAACTGTATTCGTCATAGTTGTTTGTTTGTTTGTTTTTATCAAAAGCAACTCAAAAGTAAGATACAAGTTGAATCTTAAATTCTAACGGTCTGCTCTTGACTAAATTATTTGTATAGTGCTTCACATTAATTCACTTTTAATTTATAGTCCTTCAAAATAGACCTTTGTCTAATAAATAAAAAACAAAAACACTATTATTAGAATTCATTAAACGGATAATAAAACCTTGTACAGAACAAAGCAGAATAAACAGAGACTAAGTATACTTTATTACTCGTATTATAAAAGTAAACACTTCACTTCTTTCATATTTTTATTTTCTTTCTTTAGACAAAAATAACGTATGGCAGATAAGTATCGCAGTGAAACATGAGCCATTTATTTGATTTGATGTTATTTAGTCGGCATAAGTTTATTTCTTCCTGAGTGGTCATACATTAGAGATTGTCAAAGAATATATGCAGAGGAAGGACTATAAGGAAGTGCTGACTTTTACTATATAAGTTCCATAAAATTGCACCAAGATAGCAGATGGCAAATTTAAATTACCATATTCCCAGTTTTACTTCATATTCTATTTCATTGATTTGTCACGAAAACGTTCAAAATAAATTCGTTTTCAAATATATTGGGGATATACAATAACTGGTTAATTCATGACTGGTCGCCAGCCTTGCTTAAATTTTATCTCAATGCGTTCCAGATGACTCTCCCAGATCAGAGTAATTTAGTAAGATGGGGTAAAGGTACCGAAAAAACTTGCTATATCTGCGGAAAGGCAGTTGGAACTGCTAAGCATTTGCTGGTGGGATGTAAGGTTCTCCTGGACAGCGGTCAATACTCGCGTCGTCACGATAGGGTTAGGGAGATAATACGTGAAGCGGTTAGTCTTTCGGTAGCCAGAGCGCAAAGGGAAATAACCACAAACGAGCGATCGATAGGTTTTGTGAGAGAAGGCACCAGGGTTATAAAATCAAACGTCAAGCCTTACTCTATCCTTAAAGCGGCTTCGGATTGGACTATCATGATGGATACGTATGAGAAACAATACAAAATCCCCGAGGATATTTGTGCGTCGGCCTCCAGACCAGACATATTTCTATATTCGAGTATTTTAAAGCGCGTTGTGATGATAGAGCTTACGGTGCCTTGGGAAACCAACATCCCCAAAGACCATGCCATCAAGGTCAATAAGTATTACGAGCTCACTAACGAACTAACTCGAAATAGGTTCGTCGTTGATTTGTACGCGGTAGAGGTGGGAGCGAGAGGTATAACAGCTAAATCTCTCTATAACCTACTAAAAGACTTGGGCCTGTCCAGAACTAACATTAATTCATTCTTGGAACGTACGTCGAAGGCAGCCCTAGTAGGTTCTTTTCAAATTTGGTTAGGTAGGGAGAGGAACTTGGACAGTGGAGGTGAGCGTATAACGCGCGTTAGTTAAGGGGCCCCTTAAACCTATACCTGGGTCGCAAGTCCCAGGCACTGTTGAAGCTCCTCTCCCTGCAACGCGATGGACCCGGCACCCGCACGGTGAATCCATTGAATGCTAAGAGGTTTCGTCTCTCAATACCACTTAGTTTGAAGAGAGGAATTAGCTCAAGTTCAGTTAAGTCAAAAAATCTCTTAGAGTTTGAATTTAATGTATACTATTAAAAATTTAAATAATCTTTCTTTATATCTAGTTAAAGTTTCACACACTGCAGCTATTCCATGATTGTATTCGTGCCTCCATCTACGTTAAACAGACTTAGCCACGTTTGTTCTCAGGCTTTACATTCACTACATGGAATTCTGTGACAACACTAGATACATATAGTGACGATTTAATAAACTAATCAACGGCTAGTCATGTTTGATATTCGCTTCGTATCATCAAAACTTATACTTATACATATTATACCATTGAATTATTATCGATATTTCTTTTAGAATTTACTTTCATTTTATTTCTAATAAAAATTTAAAGCTATAAAAATGACATAAAAAACATTTTATAAATTTACTTGACAAAAACAGTACAAATTAAATAATAAAATATTCTGCGACATTTTCATTCGTAAGATTAATAAAATGTTAAAAACATCTATGATAGATATCTATCATCATACAGTAATCTTTCTGTTCAATATATTTCAATATATTTTTTACATTTTATATTGACATATAGCATTCATTAATAATTTAAGACATTGACGTATTGTATTTATATGTAGTTTACAGGTTTATTACCGACAAAAATGGCATTTATTTACACAATGATATCAATTAGAATATATCTTTAGCATTTTGCGATTATTGGTGGTATCACTCATACTGAAAATATTTTGTTTACACTACACACGATGTCAAGTCTTAAATCAAGTTTTTTATAGTGACCCTCAATATACGAGTAAAGGATTGATAAATCAATAATTCTCTGTTCTTAGCCGGCAGTATGAAAAACCACTCCAACTCCTCGTGTATAATGAATTTTGGTACATTCCGTATCTGATACTGGTGTTAGATAGTTATCAATTTATTTATATGAAAACACATATATCTGGCAATACATAATTGAATACAATAACACAAAAACCCAGTTTGGATTTTCCGAACAGTATCTACTTTGGCATCAATGAATCTAAACATACATGTTTATTACAAATTTATTATGACATACTCGTATTACCATCTCGAAGAGCTTATAAGCATATTTATATTTGTAAACGAAATATTACATTGAAATAAATGTTTTAGTTAATGAAATGAAGAATAAAGCAACAATTAGCAAAACCAATTGCTTATAAAATTCACGGTAAATTGTCAATAAAAATATATACATGGGTTGAGATAAATATGATATTTGTTTTACTTTTTACGATTGTTTTAATTTTCATAGTACATTGGCTTTTATTTTACTTGTAAATTTACTTGAAAAAACGCTAATTAAT